GAACTCGTGGTAAAATTTTAAGTCGTATCGTTTACCAACAACTTTACCAAATTTGCCATAAAGTTGTTTTAAATGGTACTTCTTATCTTGTATTATATTCTCTTCTTCAAAAAAGCTGTTTTACCTATTATCCCGAGATGATAATTTGGTTCTAACGGTACTTGGGAAAGTCCATTAAAGGGTAAGTCTGCATATCATCGGAGATTGAAAGTGTCAACGACTATTATAGTATAATTTCTAATAAAAATCTGTACCATCGTAGTGGTTAAATTGGTAAATCAGGGTCACTGTAACCTCTTATGAAATGCACTCACAGGTTCGAAACCGACGCTCATACATGACATAGTGATGATGTTATTTTTTTTTTCTTTTTCTTTTGTCTGTCTTTTGTATGATCGTTTGAAAATACTTTGTTCTTCCCAATTTCTTTTTCTATTTTTTTGTTATTTGTTTCTTGTTCCCCTCGTTTTAAAGGAAACTGCTACATGTCAAGTGATTAATTAATTAATTAAATTTAGCAATTTAAAAATCAATCTATTTTAAACGCACTACGATTACGAAATATTTATATCTTGAATATATGGATCAATATATAACATACTTAACTTCATTATATTTTTACATTTATGATGACGTCTAACTGTACACAAGTGCATATCAAGCCGTGTCCAAAAAAACAACAACATTGAGGCATCAATGATGGAATTCGGTAGTTTCATATAATATAACCGGTTTATTTGTTATAAGTCGATATTACTAGTAATACATGTATCATACAAATACTGTACATCTTTTATGAATATTTCAACATAAATCGTTTACCATTTAAGTAGTAATTTTATATGATACCAGATCTTCAATATATGGATCCAAGTAAGTCATGTATGGAACCAGATGCTATTATATGAAACCGAATTATCAATATATTAAATCAATTTTACAATATATGAAACCAGTTTATCAATATATGTAACCGAAGTAGCAATATAAAATTTGATTTTCACATTATATGATACCAGTTCTTCAATATATGATACCAAAGTAGCAATATAATTGAACCAAAATGTCATTATATTGACGGGACTTTTTTACAGGCTGTATTCTATCCTTGCACCGGTATTTACAGTCCTTGTTTAAAGAACATCGTGCTTCACTTACTGCATACTGACTGCATACTATAAGGAAAAAATATTTGAAGTTAACGTCACATTCACTTAAAATGGGCTGGGCAGGCAAAACTTATCGTTATATATTTAGGAGTTGTATGTCATAATTTAAGCTATTGAGTCGTACTGACCATTAACAAAAACATGTTTAAAAAATAAGTTCATCTCGACCTTTACCTTTGATCAAAAATAGGCAGTGCCAGAAGGACACATCAAGCTTAATCTACTGACAAAGTTAAAAAATCACTTGTCAAATAATAATTGATTTCATGAAAAAGTTTATGCATTGTAACCCAGTGACCTCGGTCTTTGACTTGTTGACTTGAAAATAGGCTATTTTGGTTCCATATAATGACAATTGCTATCATAGAATGTAACATCAACTTATATACTAGCTGCTACTTTGGTTCGATACATTAATAAAATGGTTCCATATGTTGTAAAAAAGACTTAATATAATGATAATTCGGTCTCATATAAGGGCATATTGAATATCTGGTATCATATAATGTGACAATCAACTTATATATTGATACTTTGGCTCCATACATTGATAAAATGGTTTCATATATTGTAAAAATGAATTAATATATTGATAATTCGGTTTCATATAAGGACACCTCGTTCCATATATTGTTACTTTTGTTCCATATATTGAATAATTTGTATCATATATTGTAATAACCAACTCATACATTGATACTTTGGTTCCATACATTGATAAAATGGTTTCATATATTGTAAAAATGAATAAATATATTGATAATTTGGTTTCATATAAGAACACCTTGTTCCATACGTTGTTACTTTGGTTCCACATATTGAATTATTGGAATCATATATTGTAATAACCAACTCATATATTGCTACTTTGGTTCCATACATTGATAAAATGGTTTCATATATTGTAAAAATGATTTACTATATTGATAATTTGGTTTCATAGAAGGACACCTGGTTTCATACATTGCTACTTTGGTTCCATATATTGAATAATTTGTATAACCAACTCATATATTGCTACTTTGGTTCCATACATTGATAAAATGGTTTCATATTTTGTAAAAATGAAGTAACATATTGATAATTCGGTTTCATATCAGGACATCTGGTTCCATACATGGCTACTTTGGTAACATATATTGAAGAATTGGAATCATATATTGAGAAAAACAACTTATATATTGCTAACTCGGTTTCATACACTGACAGTATGGTTTCATATATTGTTACTGTGGATTAATATAATGGATTCCGGTTAAATAAGAAGGTGTTTTCAATTCATATATAGTCGAAGTGAACTCATATATTATCCAAATGGTTACATAAATTAAAAAAGAACAATATCAGACAGCCATGGGTTTCCATAAAATCTGCTATAAAATGATATTTATCGGCTGCTTTTAAATTGGTCAGATGTCACTGGGTCATTAAAGATGTTATCGCATGGTTTGGAACTTTTCATTTGTTCTTACTTACCCATTATCAATGAGCATTTGAAAACTGTATTGATATATAACAGTACAATTTTTTCATTGCTTCAGATAGGAAAAAATCTCGAATGATATATAACAGTTGATTTTTTTTTGCGCACAGGTCTGTTATACGAGTATAACAATGAAAATTTTTTTACAGAGGCTCCAATTGGGCAATGGTACCGAACATTCCCAGTGGCAAAAATAAAATAAAATAATTATCTTTAAAACTTCATTAAATGCCGTTTTATTGTTAAAAAAACATTTTTACAACATTAAAATTTTTGGCTGCTAGGCCGCCAGGCCGCTGGGCCGCCAACTTCACAAAAATGACAAAATAAAAAAAATCTCTGAAAGTGATTTTTCTTTAGATATATCGTTTAAATAACAATAATTATCTTTAAAACTTCATTAAATGCCGTTTTATTGTTAAAAAAACATTTTTACAACATTAAAATTTTTGGCTGCTAGGCCGCCAGGCCGCTGGGCCGCCAACTTCACAAAAATGACAAACTTAAAAAAATCTCTGAAAGTGATTTTTTCTTTAGATATATCGTTTAAATAACAATAATTATTTTTAAAACTTCATTAAATGCCGTTTTATTGTTAAAAAAAACATTTTTACAACATTAAATTTTTTGGCTGCTAGGCCGCCAGGCCGCTGGGCAGCCAACTTCACAAAAATGACAAAATCAAAAAAATCTCTGAAAGTGATTTTTTCTTTAGATATATCGTTTAAATAACAATAATTATCTTTAAAACTTCATTAAATGCCGTTTTATTGTTAAAAAAACATTTTTACAACATTAAAATTTTTGGCTGCTAGGCCGCCAGGCCGCTGGGCCGCCAACTTCACAAAAATGACAAAATTAAAAAAATCTCTGAAAGTGATTTTTTCTTTAGATATATCGTTTAAATGACAATAATTATCTTTAAAACTTCATTAAATGCCGTTTTATTGTTAAAAAAACATTTCTAGAACATTAAAATTTTTGGCCGTCAGGCCGCAAGGCCGCTAGGCCGCCAACTTCACGCCGCCAGGTCGCCAGGCCGCTGGGCCGCCAACTTCACGCCGCTAGGCCGCCAGGCCGCTGGACCGCCAACTTCACGCCGCTAGGCCGCCAGGCCGCCAGGCCGCCAACTTCACGCCGCCAGGCCGCCAGGCCGCCAGGCCGCCAACTTCACACATCTAATTGTGTTGCTAACGAAACGATATTATTAATTTATAGCGTAAGTCCGGTATATAGTCTGAACTATTTGATATATTACTGTGACCTCACTATTTGAGCATTGAAATGACGAGCTCGATTAAATATGTTCCATCCCTATTGCGATTTATAGCTGCATGCCTTTAGATGAGACAAAATATTTCAAGACACTGAAAGTTGAGAAAAGAGTATTAAGATTGGAAGAAAAGTTAAAAGACCAAATATTCAAGTAATGATTTACATGTTATGTACGATTATTTACTGATTTAGCAGTATTCAATTATTCAACACCATATATCTACTGCGTTACTTAATAGTATGGACAATCTTTACATATTTGGACCTCTTTTTGGTAATTTACGAGAATTATAAGTGTTTTTTGTAATGTGCAAATTACTCTCTGTGTTCAGTTCAGAATATCTTACTATTACATACATTTTTAATGAAAATTTGCTTGAATCTGATGCGTGCTGTTTTAAGAAAGCTTGGTCGACCATATATTCTTGATGATAAGGCCAAGTACTACAAAATGTTTGACATCTGACTCACAAGCACAGTACTAGAGTATGAGCCACATGACAAAATCTTTATGCTTTTGTGAAATTCATTGACATAACTTTTTCTAATTTCAGCTATCATATTCTTACTCTTGCAGTACGCACGTGTGTCAAGTAAGTTTGCCTCAACCAAGAAACATTTTATCTAAATACTATCAAAGATTAGATCTGTATCACACAATGACGATTGTTTTCCTCTGATATAATAATTAATAAGAGAAAGAATAAATCGACATTTGGTATATTTGTGTGACGTGTCGGTTCAAAATTGATCAATCAATATTTCACTGAATCTGGTCATTCTATTCATAAAAAGTTCCATCCCGGGAAACTCCAAAATCCAAGATGGCGTCCAAGATTGCCTCTAAAATTGGGAAATTTGCATTATATGCTCTATTTGTGGATTGTCTTCAAAAGCGATCCATTTTTCTTGCTGAAATATTTAAATAACTGAACACATCATTTTTCATTTATTTCTCTGATTTGATAGTAAATAGGCACGTATACTTTATCGAAAATAACTACAATGCACTTTATAATTGTTTAAACTCTTTCCTACGACACTCATGACATTATATCACTTTGCATTATTAGATCCAGTTTCTAAAAACAGAATGGAAGACATTGGCCCAAAGAGGCCGATATTCAAAAGTAAGTACATATTTGAGTCGCCTTTGATCTTGAGACAGACATGTCTTTTATCAATCAATCGGTATTCATATCGATTTTAGGACAATGAAGTTTTTGTTATATTTTGCATAGTCGTAACGGACATTATGAACAATTTAAAGGGATTTCTCAGAGGTACATTTGTATATTGGCACGACTGGCATAATTGGTCGTTTTATACCATTTTATGTAGGATTACGAACAAATATTTATCACACACCCGTGCCGATTTTGCGACTCCGTAAATATGGTATTGCACGGCCGTGCATATATTTTGACGTGACGTCATTAGCGTTATACAAACATAGTGTAAAGACGCGCTAAATGTTAGCGTTATACTATAGGCGCGTCAATGAAAAATGACTCTTATTTCACTTTAAACGGTATTTATTTTGGGTATGTGATAAATAGAATATTAAATTCGTGTAAGTTCATTACTGACTTTATTGCACTCGTTGAATAAAATAATATTATGCTCGCCAGAGGCTCGCATAATATAATTTTATTCAACTCGTGCATCATTCGCTCGCTGCGTTTTTTCAAAATATTCATTTTCATGTGCAAAATGGCCCAAAAATGAAAAAACGTTTAACGCTTTTAGCTTAAATCAGACTTAAAGCACCGCTTCAACTTTTAAATTTAATTCCTAGTCTATTAGTTTATTAACCTTTACATATTGTTTCAGTTTATAGTGCCACATGTGATTTATGTAAAGAATTCAAATTTTATATTTTGGCCTCATTGGAGTTTCTTAACTGTTGAAACTTGGATTACTTCCTTATTATGACAATTGTTTGTTTTGTTTGGTTTTAAGGCGTACCAACACAGTCTGTCTTATGATTTAGGCCTCGAATCAGGAAAAATGATTTTAGCTAACCTTGCGACATACACACTTAAAACTTAAAAAGCCAGTGAAAGACCAGGGGTCAAACCCATTTCACCTGCTGAAGCTAAGATAAGCATAGACTCCAATAATGCTAACCCATTTAGTCGTCCCTTACCATCACTTAGTATTAAACAGTGGCTAAAATTGTGTTGTCTCAACCGGTAAAGACAACCCCTCAACCTCAAAGATATCATTATGTCAATGTGCAGTTGTTAGAATTTTAGAAATTGCCCCTTTAAATTTATAGTTGTTGTCCTTAACAGATGAGCGTTAACACCGCATGCATTGGTCTTGTCATATCGAAAGATCGACTGATGTATTTTTTAAAAGAATAGAATAAGATTGTCTCTTTTTTCAGTAAAATACTATGATGTATTATTGAATAGTTTCATGAGGGGCGGAAGTACTTTAACTGGAATGGTTCTCGGGCACATAGTTGATACTTTTTACCTTTACGAACCCTTGCTGAAAATTTCAATGTGGACATATTGGCATGGCTACAGCATGGTGTGCAGATCCAATCGTCTTGAGTGCAGGTATGTGAATGGTTTAGGGTCAAACGATTGATAGAACATGCATTGAATAATATTGCGAAAATGTAATATCAGTCTAGTTGTAGTTGATAGTAGAAAGTAAATTGCCGTTACAATTAAACTTAAGGGAATTGAAACAAGATTGACTTTTTATTAAAATACACAACCATTAAGAAATCTAAGCAAGTATTGTAGTAAGTGGTACAAACATCATTGTTAATGGTAAAATAGTAATTCGGAACCAATGTAAGAGAAGTAAATGATTGTAAACGCCGATTTAAGAGTAGGTACAATTAGATATTGTAGGTAAGGTAAGTAAATAATTTAATCTCCATAGTAGCTGAAGAGGAAAAGCATAAGAAAATGCTTGAAGAAGCATATTAAGCTGTTCAAAGCGTCAAAGTAAATGACGGAAAACACCTCCAATTGATTAAGCTATGATATAGTAGTTACTTTATTAGAATTTCGTGCAATAAAATGGATGTAAAATTAGCCAACACCTAAAGAGTTCACTTCAGTTCTTTAACTTTCAAACACAGAAAGAAAGAAAGAAAGAAAGAAAGAAAGAAAGAAAGGAAGGAAGGAAGGAAGGAAGGAAGGAAGAAAGAAAGAAAGAAAGAAAGAAAGAAAGAAAGAAAGAAAGAAAGAAAGAAAGAAAGAAAGAAAGAAAGAAAGAAAGAAAAAGGATGCATGCATTTTATCATAAATGTACTAACTTGACTTTTGTTTACATTTTATATCAGAGATATGGAGACAGGGAAGGCAATTCAAGATAATTCTTTTGTAGACAACCTTTACATGTATCTTTTTATATATTTGTAAAAGTTCATTGTATCTTGTATTTTAGTATTTCAAAATAAAATTCACCTCAAATATTAAATATATACGTACATTCACCCAAAACGCATTTCCTAATACATGTACATATCTTCATGTGTTTTCACCTCCAGACATAGTAAAATGAAATCATATATGAAACCAAACCGCGTCTTGAAATTACACACTTTAGATGCACAAACAAATATTCTTTGAGCATGGTGCTATTCATCCTAAGATAAATGAGTAGATCGGTAACACTAATTTTCATCTAAAAGCATGAGCGTGTAACAAATCTTGGTATTTCTAGAAAATTCATTTCTACCCCCGCTAATATATCTCTTAAAGGGTAACAACAATTTTACGGATTTTACTTTTAACTTCCACATATAAAACTGATGCGTTTTGCTGAATCCTGTGCTAGGTGGACATAGATTGAATAGAATTAAAGAAAAAAAGCGTGTTGTTATTTAACATTGCTGTTATTAAACAGATAAAAATGACAGTAAAAATTGCAATTTTACCGTATATAGGCGATGCCAAAAGGTTCAAATTTAAAATGTATTAGTTCATTTTTCTTTTGAAAGCTCGGCTTTTTGTGCCCTGTCCTACTATTGTTAGTAGTCCTGTTAGGCTCCTTGTCGGTTGTCCTCAGTTCCTGGGTCGTGTCAGGTTTGCGTTCATTGAACCGCCACCCTTTTTTGTTTGGGATAGTCCCCGATTGGGAGGGTGATTTTACCCCCTACTGGGGGGAAATACATTTTTTATGACGTTATTGGGTTTTGGGGTATTTTTCCCCCTTTAAAACTGGGGGGAAGGAAAAAGTCCCAGGTCCCTTTTTGAAAAATTTATTTCAGGAAAGGGAAAAGGAAACCCTCGATTTTCCGTGTAAAAAGCGGGATAGTTTCCCTCGAAAAAGGGAAAACCCAAAAGCCCCTTGCGGGAAAATTCAAACCCCAAAGGAGTAATGGGAAAGGTTTTTGAAAAAATCCCAACAACCTTAACCATCCCGCCAAACCAAAAACGCCCCCCCTTCCCTTTGAAACACTTTTTTACTTTTTTTTAAAAGGTTTTTGAAAGTTTAAAATTCTTTAAAAAAAAATAAATTTTATTTAATTTTTTAAAATTTAAATTTGGATAGATGCATAGGTTAATTTATAACTATTGGTACAAGAAACAAGGTTACTTCAAAAATGACTTCCTTCATGAAAGGTAACCCGTCACTGGGAAAAATCATTATGCCGCTGAAATTAATGTACATAAAGTTAGTTCCCTATCCTTATTCCTTATTCCTTTTTCGAATAAGGAATAAGGAAATCAGTTCCTTATTCCTTTTTCGAATAAGGAATAGGGAACTAGTTCCTGATTCCTTATTCAATCTAAATAAGGAACAGCAGAATTAGTCATTTATTTAAATTCTATAAAAATTTATACTTCATTCAAATCATTGCATAAAGAATTCTGCATAAATTATTTTTTGAAAAAAAATCGAATAAGGAATATGGAAAGGGAACCAGTTCCTTATTCCTTATTCATCTCCGAATAAGGAACATAAGTAAATACGTAAAGAAAAGACACCAGTTGCAATTAAATTTTTTTGA